AACATGATCTAATACTGTATTGCCTTCTGTAGTACTCTCTGTCACACACTGTTTAAACCCAAAGTCTTGAAAACAATCTTTAATAGAACTATGTCCTTCTAATAGATTTTGATTGAAATCTCCCATAACAATATAATTATAACCAGACTGTTGTAACTCAGTCAACAATCGTTCTAATTGAGGCATAAACAATTCTAATCTATATCTTGGTGGTCTATAAATAACAATTACAGAAACATTTTTATCTGGAATATTACAAGCAACATGTTCTATATTTAATTGTCCTAATCTTATTATATTACAAGCTTTATTTTTACTATAATATATTCCTACACCACCATGGTCTTTTTCTTTAAGATTTTTAAAATTAGCACTATCATCATAGCTATTGTGACGAGGTTGATTATAAAATATAAAATTATCAAATCGTACTTTAGCAGGGTTCCTTACATTTCGTAACCAAGTTTCTGTCAAACATATCAAATCAGAATTTAGAAATCTTTTGTCATGTTTTAAATCTTCTAAATGTGTAGTAAGTCCTTGAACATTAAATAAAATAATATTATAACTATTAGGTTTAGGTTGTTCTTCAGGTTGTAAAAATCTTGGCATTTCATTTAGAGCAGATTCAATCTTTTCATCACAAAATATAGCTTTCTCATTAAAATCTTGTATAGTCAATCCTTTTAATGTTTTAACTCGACTTAATGCAACATATGCTTGACCTGTTTGAAAAATTCTATCTAAACAAACGACACCTCTATCTAAACTCAAACCTTGTACTTTGTGAATAGTTACTGCATAAGCTAGTCGTAATGGAAATTGACGACGAACATCACCTTTATAATTAATATGTGTACTTTCATATCTTTCTATAGGAATACTACCTTGTTCAACATTAGGTGGAAGACGATATGTCTGCTTACTCAAACCAACTTTAGCATTGTTAAATTTAACATATATCTTTCTAGGTTTATCATTTTGATCATTTTCAATAAATGTCACAGTACCAAAACTTCCATTAATCAAACCAACTGAAACATCTAAATTAACAACTAACATTACATTTGATCCAATACCAACTGTTAAATTATCTACAAGTGGTGTATCAGTTGCTTTAACACAAGAATCTTTTAATATCATTCTTCCTGATCTAGCATCTTTACTATAGTCTAAAGCCTGAATAGAAATAGAATTGGGACATTTTTCATTGATCATTCTACTATTGTAATTATCTACTTGTTGATTTGTGGAAAATATATGTAAGCTGTCATCTTCTAAATTTGTAACTCTACTTTGTAACATTTCAATATCTGAAGCCAACATTTCTTCACTTTTCTTTCTTTTTCTAATTCTATTCAAAAGTTGAGCAAAAGCTAAATCATCTTTCTGTCTCATGATTTCTGTCAACTCTATCAGTTTAAAATTTCCATTCCAAATATCTATTACACTATCATGACATAAACTAGAAGCTTTAACTGGTTTTAATTGCCACATGTCACCAAAACAAATTACACAGATATT